TCTCTCTCTCTCTCTCTCTCTCTCTCTCTCTCTCTCTCTCTCTCTCTCTCTCTCTCTCTCTCACGCCCAAAGAAACAAAAAACAAAAAGTGCGCCCCACTCTCCAGTAAATCAACGACTCCCTGCAAAGCTCTCTCTCTTGAATGCAGTTGGGTTTCCTGAACCCTGACATACAGAAACGGAAAACTGCAGCCATGGAGCACTACTCCAGCCACCAGCGAGATTGTAACAACGGTGATCCAAAGGTTCCATGTCGACAGCCATAGTTTTTTTTTTCACTTTGATACCATCCCATGCTGTCACTAGTCGCCATTGCATATTCGCACAAACAATGACATATACCAGAGCGAGCGATGGTTTATGAACGGGGCGCAATGTCGGAGAAAGAAAAAACTGATCTGCAGCAGTCAGGTGCAGATGCCGTGCACTGATCTGCCCGCACGAACTGACACGCAGAAAACGATCTTCTGCGACCCTCCAGTCCGTGTGCAGAGCCCGCGCTCGCGCTCACTCTTGCACGCTGACATGCAGCAGCCCCTGTGCACAGGTGGTTTTGCTAATTGCCACACGACAACCTCTCTGGTGGAAACGCGCGCATCTGTTGCTGCGGGACGCTGAAAGAACTGTGCTTGCCTGAGGTTCAAGTACACAATCGCGAAAGATACAGTGCAGTTACGGCAAAAAGGGAAAAGCCACGACACACGCCGGCTACTGATAAACTAAGGGGGTAGTCACACTAGCACCATCATAAATGTATCTGACCGCACTTACAGCCCGACGAGGATGTATCTGGCCGCAGTCACGTCAAAAAGTCAAAAAACTTAATTAAAAAAGTCCTAGTGTGAATACGCCCAGAGTTCGCTTACCAGTTTGACAGGAAACCATATTCGCTGCTTTGCCCTTTCCTTGCCGCTGAAGATTTGAAGTCGGGGACGCATCGCATCGTGTTAGCGTACGAACCACTACGTCAAAATCACCATCGCTGACCTTATTCGCTGCATGCAGCACAAAAAATAACGTACGAAGTTACGAACCACTTTTGCATTCCCGATTTCTCAACATATCGGTACCTAAAGCTGAAGTTTTCATCATTGCTGGAAACAACAACATTCCTCGTCTTACCTCTCCTTCGGCTTCTCGACTTATATTTATATCCCGTTCCACACATTCTGTGTGGTATATCAAAGACAAGAGAGCGACGACCATGGCAGACTCGATGTGGCGCACAGAGTACATTTTGCAAATCTGAAGTTGGGTCGTTTGCGATTTTTAGCGCAGCAGTTGTAGCTTTCGTATATGTCTCACCGTCTCGGAGTCCTGCGGATTTCAATTCAGATCTGTATTTCAAATTTCAATAGTGTTCATGAGCTCTCATTGTTGGTTGTCTCAAGGTCCTGTTCGTCTCCTGCAGTTCCCGATTTCGTTCCAGTTTGTACAAAATCCGCGTAACGAACTGGATTCGAACTCTTGTTCTTCTGCGTGAGAATGGATGGATGGAACGGAACACCTTCCCTGTTTCCGTCACTCGTGCCTAAAGCGGAAGCCATGCAGAGTGGCCGGACAGAAGCGATCACCACCATAGGGCCGGCATAGCGGGCCCCCAATGTGAGCCCACAGAGTCGGCCCAATGTGAGCCGGCGCAATGGGCCCAATTCGAACTCGATATACGAGTCGCTTCGCTGCACTGCAGCATTTCGACTCTCGCCCCACCTCTGCACCCCTCCACCATTGTTCCTGCCCAACACCCGTCCAGGCCCGTCCTTCCCGCACCCGTCCTTCCAGGGGTCCAGGATGTCCTTACAGTCCTCACAGGGTAGGAAACGAAAAAGACGATCATCGCTTCCACCGTTGAATAATAGCATGACTTCAGCTGCACCGTTGATGTATCTTCACCCTTTTAAAGACGAAATCATCCATCTGCATATTGATCTTGGCGGGGATTGATTCGATGCATGCAATCAATACACTTACATGCTCATCGCATATTTTCTCCAACCTCTCTAGATCAGCTCGAAACCGCATAGACTAAGCAAAGTCAGCTTGCTGCCTGTCGGGGACTCTGCACAGGCATTCAGGCAGGGGATTCGCGTAGAACGGCTTTTCGGAGCGATACCTATCCTTTCCCCGAGACCCCGGAACAGTGTCAATAAAGCGCTCTCTTGGCCCACCTTGCCTGCAACCATACAATGAGGAGATGTGTAAGTCCATGTGGGCATCGCAAAGACTTATTTAAAAAATAATTAAATAATTAAAAATATTCAAAAAGGAGAAAATGTTTGATAAAAACTTAAAAAGCCATCGCAGTGTTCGGTCATCAAATACAAGAAATCTGATGAACCGTCAACATGAAATTCTGATTATGACGTCCATTAAAACTGGAACGATATAGACAAGATTGGCAAGGCGCCTGTGCAACGATGACATCGATTGAAAAAAAAAAAAAAAAAATCCCTGGTCCCGCGCCTGTACAACGATGGCATCCATTAGGACACCGAAACCATTCATTTAATCACTTTTCTTTTAGCTCCCCCTTTACAGTGCCTCTCACGTACACGGAGTTTTGAGTCTGCCCACATCCCCGTGTGCCATGAAAGCCCACTTGTACGCTGTGAGAAGAGACGGAGTAACGGAGGAGGGAATAAACACAGAGAAGAGAGATGGGAAGAAGACAAAGCAAAGTAGGACAAAGGGAAAGTAAAGATAAGGCTCAAGAATCGGTCTGTTCTTGACGCCAGAGAGGACACATTTTCAGAACGAGGTGGACGCACACATGGAGGACCTAGCTGAGCATTGTCAGTACAACAATTGCCGCGCCGGCTGGCATTGACCCTGCCTGCCATACATTCCCGACGAATAGCATGTCGAATGCAGGCCGACATGAAGGAAGAACGGGCACCACAAAAGACCATGCATTCAGCATACCGCCAATGGCCGCAAAATCGGCATACGGCGTCCGGATGCCGAGGCTGCCTGCAGTCAGGAGCAGAGGGACAGTCCTCTAGCACACACATGGATGCAGAACCCATGTCATTGTAGTGAGCACGACAGTGACGACGGTGGCTATGGCCGAGTGCGACAGTCCTTGTAGTTGTGCAAAGGAGAAGGACGCAGAGTGTTGGTACGTTGCCCTGCTGCCAGAGGAATGATCTTCGACATAAAAGAGATTGCGGACGGTTTGGTGTGCCAGGAAAACAGCATATCACTGCAAGCGATCAGTACCTAAAGCGGACGATCCTTAAGAAAAAAAAAAAAAAGGCAAGACGGTTTGTAGCTCCTCTGTCTGCGCACGGTGTCTCCAGACAAATTCAATAATATCAATATCATCTATATTTATTTAATATTTATGGTGCTATTTCCTTTCATAAGACTTGCAATGCCAGAGGCAAGTCCGCTGCTATTGCTTAGTCGTAGCATGCACGATCCTCTGGAGCTGGTACCGGAAGGTTCAGGTACGTCGCACTACATTGGCATAGTGAAGATCAGACTCGTCTGTTTGTTGTCTTTGGGGACAACTGTTAAAACTGGAACGATACAGACAAACCAAAAAAAAAAAGAAAAAAAAGATTAGCATGGCCCCTGCTGCTGCGAATGGATGAAATGCACTAAATCAAGAATTTTTAATTTTTGCCTTTTTTCCCTTATTTTTCTGCTTTTCCCTCTTTTCTCTTTTTTTAAATTAAACAGGGCCTTATGGTCCTCGTTCCATATCCGTTCTGGGGAGCCTCAAATCAAGAAATCTCTGAAATGGCCCAAACTCAGACAAAAACGAAAAGGAGCCTTATCTGCTCCACCCTAACAGTCCATTCGCATTTTCCACTATGAAATTATTAGCCTCCCTTCCTTTTTTTTTTTTTTTTGTTGTTGTTGTAGTTTTTTCCTCTACTTCCATCTCGTCTTACTATCTCGGTCGTAATTACTCCAAGAGTCCAAACAGCAACAAAAGAAAAAGAGCAAGACGCACAAACATGCGAAAAACACAGGAACACAGGAACAGAACTATCAAACCCATGAATTGCTAAACTGCAGACCTGAGATAGACTCCAGAAGCTATCAGATGAATAAGACGATATCTCAAGGCCGCCGGCCCCAAACACGAATAAAAAAGAACATTAGAACCGAGAGTGAGAAAAACTCCAAGCATCACGAGCATACACCAAGAAAGAGTGAGAGAGAGAGAGAAGGGAAAACAACACACACACACACACAAAGAGAGAGAGAGAGAGAGAGAGAGAGAGAGAGAGAGAGAGAGAGAGAGAGAGAGAGAGAGAGAGAGAGAGAGAGAAAGAACGCAGACCTGTCCAGATGTGCGAGATAGACCATCTCCTTTAGCTGCTCAAATGAGATGTCTTGAGCATAGTAATCTTCAAAGAGGGCTACCAACGTTTTTCTGCAGAATGCGAAAGCCAGAGCAGTGTTTGGGACATCCAACAAAATTGGAACGATACAGAGAAGATTAGCATGGTCCCTGCGCCCTCAAGGACAACACCGCTTAAATCAAGAAACGGTGCAAAGTAAAAACCCAGAAAAGAAAAAAAAAGAAAAAGGAAAAGAAAAAGGAGGGAAGGTAAGCAAGAGAGAGAAAAAGAAAAAAGAGGAGTGTTCAGCTCAATCAGATAAGCAATAGGGTGAGACAAAAATAATTACCGAGCTACGTGAGCTGCGGTACTTTCACGAATGAAGACAATCAGTGGAATGCTGAGTGGGGACGGGTGACCGGCAGGGGCCCGGGGGAGCTCCCCGGCGGCCTGGCCGAGCAGGGCACCCGGTTGGGGTCCGGGCCCCCCCAGCGCACTCACCTGTCGGGGGATTTCGGACCCCCTTTCGGACCCCCTTTGTGTGTGTGTTTGTGTGTGTGTGTGTGTGCGTGTGTGTGTGTGTGTGTGTGTGTGTGTGTGTGTGTGTGT